TGCTAATTCTCAGCCAGATCGGCCGAGCCGTCCAGGAGGAGTAGTGCGCACAGACTCGCACACACACACTCTGGCATTAAAAACTTTTCAACCCCACTGGAGTAACGGGCTTCGCTATCGCTCAGCCAATCGTAGTTACAATGTAGGTGTACGCCAGACCGTGTCTTGTCGTAACAGGCTTCGCGATGCTGCGCCAGTTTCGACAATTTACGCCTGGCGTGTACACCTACCTTGGCCTGCGGCGCTGGCCTGCCTTCGGCAGGCTGCTTTCCTAGTCAAACCGTGGGAACAAGCGTGATCCCCTCTTAAATTAGAATTGGGTGATCCAAATTTTCACTAATGGGACTGAATTTTAGGTCGGGGGTCAGAATGGGTTCTATTTTCGTCATCAGCATCTTCCAAAACACAGGAAATGATATGGAACTTGTCACAGAGTTAAAAGTGCCAAAAAAGTTGTATTTTTTCTGCCGATTTTTAAGTGTCTTTGGCTAATATGACCGAATGGATTGGGGTAGAAAGCTGAATTTTTGTGAGTGGCGAGCCAAGGACATGCCCAATTACCCTGCAAAATCTCAGCCAGATCGGCCAAGCCGTACAGGAGGAGTAGTGCACACTGCACACAGACACACACGCACACACACAGACAGAAAAAGTTTTTTAACCCCACTGGAGTAACGGGCTTCGCTACCGCTCAGCCAATAATTATTTGTCTGTCATAAGTTTGCAACTAGTCAATTGTATTACCTCTAAAGCTGCAGGTTCAGCACCGGATTGTATTTGTTATTTTTTAAGATTGTATTAAAAGAGTTTATTCTAACATTTTATTGTTTGGGGTGGATGTCGTGTTCGCGTCTGCTATTTACCGCCTTGTTCGTTGTTGTTGTTCTCTCTGCTGTTGGCTAGGTGAATCAATGTGAATCTGCCAAACCCTGGCCGGGAATGTGGCTAGAAGGTTACCCCTTGTACCTCATCAAATCAGTTCGGAATAAAGCAGTAAAGCATTAACATCGGCTCTTCATTGGAATTTTGGACACTACACCACAGATAAAGCACTGTGAGAAAAACGGACGGAAAAACTACGGAACATGTCTGGTCAATAATTTGCCTGGACCGTCCGTACTTGCATAGACAATCAACTATAACCATAGACCAACTGCTTCATGCCCAGGCTGGGATCCATGTGTTACGCCGCTCCCTGATTGGTCAGTACCTTTCACTTCACTGGTCATTGGTCGGCTTTGGTCACCAAGCTGCCGCGGCAGCGAACGCCGCGTCCTGATTGGTCGAGGAGGCTCGAGCTCCCACCAATCAGGACGCGGCGTTCGCTGCCGAGGCAGCTTGGTGCAGTCGATGCCACACTTGTCGAAGAGTTTATACCACTTTAAGTTGATGTTCAGCTGCTTTCAGTGGGTGAAAAAGAAGCTCACATAAATAAGGAATGTCATCAAACGGCTCGATTTTTAAAATGAACTTTAACTTTAGAGCCTCAGAGGAAGTTTTACGGAAGAACACCGCTCGTGCCGCTCGTGCCGACAGCTGATTGTTTGTTTTTAACTTGGTATTTATACCAACAAGCTTTACTCAAAAACCAAGAGCCAGAAACATAGATTTGAACATGCTGAATGCAATCAGTCCACTAAAATTTACAATTGTCGAGTTTTTAACCTCGAAATGTTGAAGTGAAAGGTACCGACCAATCAGGGAGCGGCGTAACACATGGATCCCAGCCGGGCATGAAGCAGTTGGTCTATGGATATAGTTGATTGTCTATGGTACTTGCCAACTACGGAACGTTCCGTACTTTTTTTCCGTACCCATTTACATGGGTTCATATGGAGCAAGTACGGAACGTTCCGTACTTTTCTCCGTACCTCCGTACTATATTTTTCTGTTCCATTTTCGTACAAAAGTACGGAATGTTTTACAGTGAGTCAAAACTTAAATTAAGTTGCAAATTACAATTTATTAAGTTGCAAATTACAAGTTAACATTCATATAGACAAGATTATAAACTGATAATAAACTATGATCATTATTATAAATCTTTTGAAGTTTAAATCTGTAAGTGGTAGTATTTCTTCTTGTGGCAGCACTTAGTCATGAACAATAAGAATTCGCTTCCCAAGGTTTAAACACAGTTTTATAAATTGTGTGTCTATCAATAAAAGTAATCACTTATAACTGCTAAATTGACATTGGGAGGCACATGCCAACCATTAAACCCAGTTGAAGAACCACATTATGCACATTTTGACTATATCTCTAAAAATCTTCTGACGCTTACTATTTTAACGTAAAAGGTTGGTCATCACATTTTTACTTCTACGATTCATTTTGAAAAGATTGTGGCAACCACAACTCTTTGTGTCCATGATGTTACCTTCAACAAAGCTTTTCAAGCTGTGATGTCTCTAAAACTTGGATATATTGTAGATTTTTGTTAAATTTTAGTTTAATATCTCCCATGGGATCTCAACCTCTATTTCAATCTTCAGTTCAAGCTACTGCTGATTGCGCTTTATGTGGGGTGAAAGGCGGTCTTCGAGTCATGGAGTTTTCCATGCATGAGGGATGTTACGATGCGAAGACAATGAATTGTATTTCAAAATTGTCCTTGGGGACTTGAACTCCATCTCAAACTTTGGCCTGCTTATGTGGGGTAGTGAGAAAAATAAGTATAGTAACAAATGACTTCTTTGGTGAATACAAACAAAAAATTATAAAACCCCGTTCTAAACTAGGAAAAGAAAGTGGAAATACTATTAATCCCACATTCAAACTTAGAAAAATTGAAAAGTATGATCAAAGTTAAAAAAAAATTATTTCATCTTTATGAAATGTCAACTTGCAAGTGGGAACTTAGGCTCAGCTTAAAGTTTGGACTTTACCTAGTCTATTTCAGAGGGGGCCCTGGTGAAAAAATGTCCGGTATTGGCTTTCTCAAGGTGCTTAGCTTGAAATAGAGCAATAGAGATAGTGGTGCATCAAACCCTTGTCTCCTGTAGTACACACACACTGACGTTTTTCTCAATCAGTAGCTAGTCGATTCTAGCCCGAGCCTCCGCCGTGGCGCACCCTCGCACATTCCAGGTGGCGATTCGGAAGCGTCCCTCCGGGGCTGGGTCGGCCTCCTGCCCGCCTCCGACGTCCTGGGCCGACAGGGCGATGCTGGCCGTCGGTGTTGTGTCGGTCTGGATGTCCTCACCAGGCGGAAGAAGGGGCTGTCCTGGATTGATTGGCCGGATGCCCTCCACCTGCCTTGGCTCCTCCTGAATCGCCTCCTCGTGCGGCCGTTCGTCGCTCACTGGCTCAAAATGAGCAATTCTTTCCCAAGGCAACCAGGCCCAAAACCTTCATGTCTCAGATCCTGCTCCCGTTGGTTTTTTAAGATGCCCTAGTAGTAGAGAGTCTCCAAAAAAATTTTCAGATTTTTATGTCTCATAGAAGCCGAGATTTTGGGGTTTTAATGTTTCAAACCTAGGAAAAATTCCACATTTTTAATTTTTCATCGAAACTTTCCCGTCTAAATTTTTTTGAAAAGAGCATAAAAAGTTGAGTCCTTTCCATGCCAGAACGGAATTTTCAAACAATTTTTTGAAGTTTCGACGTAGTTTTAAAATTTAAAAAAAGTGGATTTATTGGTTAAAAGCTAATACGTATATTTTTTTTTCACTTCTCTGAGCGTTAAAAAGTGTATTTTTATAGTCCCTAACTCTGGGAAAAATAAAAACTTTACGGATGAAACTCATTCTAAATACCGCAGCCCAAAACCTATTTTCAGTCTTCGCTTTTCGACTAAAGTGTACCCCCAGGCACTGGAGGATGGTTCAATGAGTCAAACCAAATCATCTTTGTATGTTATTACTCACTTAACATCAAAGCTGAAGTATTTTAAGTACTCTGTTCAACAGATATATCTGTAGATCACTCTCAAATGTTATTTTATAGCCTAAATCACTCAATTTCTTAGATACACACAGCCATTCAAATTATTCTGCAGCTCACTCAAACATTCAAGAGTGATGTCAACTAGAACACAGCAGAAGAACTTTTAAAAAAATGCTAGTGCAAATAAGCATCTGTCCTGCAAACAGTGTATGATGTTGTTTGCAGTCATCATTTGTTTTTGTTGGCCGCTAACCTCTTGTGTAGTGTGCGTGGTGTGAAGTGACATTGGAGGAATTCTTTTCCTTAACTATTTGCCTGACTTAAAGACAATGTCGTGTTCCATTGGAACAAGTATTGGGTCACCCTGCGCTGGCAGAGAATTTACAGAACAAGAGATTTCAAAAGACCACAAGGAACTGATGTCAATAAGATCGGGCTGCAGTGTGAAGCCTTTCATTGTTTGCGAATCTCACAAAAGGACCTTTCTACACGCTTATTCGCTTAATTTTAAAGTGTGTTGTAATCCATACGAGAACCATGGTCAAAATGTGAAAGGTCGGCTTGAAGAAATATCTTTGGACAGATACAAACAGTGGCTACCTTTGAACTTAACATTTCTGCCAGGCCACAAACTTTGTTATTCTTGTGCAAGAGCAGTGAAAGCAGCGAGGGACCGTTATGCTGCTCAAAATGATCAAGGTGGTGGTGCTGGTGGTGGTGGTAGTGGATATGATCATGGACATGATGAAGGCAACAACCCTCCTGCTGAAGAGCCACCTGTTGAGCGGTTAAGCCAATCAACTCAAACCATATGCACTCCACGAGACCACAAGTTCACACAAACTAGGCCCACATCAAATCACAAGTTCACACAAACTACTGAGAGCGTGGTGAACTTGGATCGTTTGAGACCTCGACCAGCCTTGAAATCTGCTACTGCTTCAAGAACCATTTCTGCTGCATCAAGCGAAGGTAGTCCATTGACTTTGTCAGGGCAGTCAACGCAGTCAGACCAGTCATGGTAATCAGAAGAGATCCTGGATTCTTTAAATGAAATCTTAAAGAAGCATAACATTGCAACTGTGGATGTAAAGAAACTTAAGCATCAGAGATATTATGGCACGGCAAGATTAGAAGAAATTACTGATGCGATTAAAAGCGTCATGATCCAGGCTGCAGAGAAACAACATGATTATTTAAATTTTTCTCTACGTGAGGTATATGTTAATCCAAATAATTTGTTTGTGTCTTCTGAGTCTTCCAAAAATACTTATGCTTTTCTTGTGAATTTCAGGTATGTGAGGATTCTGCTGACCTCACAGAAATGATCAGTGGGTTAAAGACCGAATTTCACAAGACTGCTGATCGAGCAAAGAAGATCCAAATTTTATCTGTTTTACCAACAAGCTGGAGCAGAGAAAAAATTTGTCAAAAATTTGATTGTTCTGTAAATATGGTGAGAGTTACAAAAGCTTTAGTTGAATCAGAGGGAATTCTTGCAGTGCCAAAACCTAAGCAAGGTCGGCCTCTGAATGAAGAAACAGTCAAATCAATTTTAGGCTTCTACTATGCTGATGAAGTTAGTAGACCTATGCCTGGTCAGAGAGACTACAAAAGTGGTAAACGAGTTCACAAACAGAAGAGACTTTTACTTTGCACTGTAAATGAACTGTACTCAATGTTTTGCAAGAAATATCCTGGCAAAGTGTCGTTCTCAAAGTTTGCAAGCTTGAGGCCTCCAGAATGTGTGAGTGCTGGTGCTAGTGGCACGCACTCTGTTTGTGTCTGTGCCATCCATCAAAACACTGAGCTGATGGCCAAAGGTGGTGGGATACGCAGAAAAAAGAAGAAAAGTGTGAGTGAACAAGATGCGGAAGTTAGTGAATTAGATGAGAAAGATGGTGAGGCACAAATAACCTTTGAAGATTGTGTGGACATGCTCATGTGTACTTCTAAGTCAGATGATTGCTATATGGATAAATGTTTAGACTGTCCAGATCCAGAAATATTACGTGTGTTTCTGGCTGCACACTTTGAAGAACTCTCACTCGACTCAGTAATGTTTCAACAGTGGATGAACGTTGATCGCTGCTCTTTGGAAACATTAGTGAAATCTATTGACAATTACATTGATGATTTTACGGATAAGTTATTGGAGTACAAAAAGCACAATTTCATAGCTAAGAAGCAAGCAGCAGCTTTGAAAGAATGTAAAGCCAATTTGAAGGTTGGTGAAGTTTTAACCCTGGGAGACTTTTCAGAGAACTATTCATTTTTGATACAGGATGCAATCCAGGGATTCCACTGGAATAATGATCAAGCCACCTTGCATCCGTTTGTAAATTATTTCCGCAGAACAGAAGAAGCAGAAATTGAATTTTGCACTCTCATCGTAATCTCTGATGAACTTAAACATAACACTGCTGCAGTACATGCCTTTCAAGAGAGGCTGCTCAAGTATCTAGAAGAGAAGATAGGGAGAAAAGTTAAGAAGATATTCTATTGGAGTGACGGAGCTGCAGCTCAGTACAAAAACCGCAAGAATGTTTCAAATGTTGCCAACCATCAGGGAGACTTCCTGATAGTAGCGGAGTGGCACTTCTTCCCAACCTCACATGGAAAAACTCTCTGTGATGCGACTGCTGGAGCAGCAAAGCGGTCAGCAGCAGAGGAAAGCAAAAGAAGAGTTGATGAAGAACCTATTGCTAACCCAGTTCAATTGTACAATTACCTCAAAGGAAGCAGTAAAAGCATGGACTACACTTTTGTGAGTAAATTCAAAATTGAATGTCACAATCAGAAATACCACGATAGAATGGAAAATGCTACTCTTGTACCTGGGATCAGAAGCATCCATGCTATCATCCCAGTTTCTGAAACTTTAGTCCAAACAAAGGAGTATTCTTTGTCAAGCCATGTCAAGATGAGCGACATCACACCTCAACCGAAGTAAGAAACATTAAAAAATTTATACTGCGCTATAACATCCTACTTTTATCTTTTTCACTTTCATCATCTTAATATCTGTCCTCTAATCCTTAGGGCTCAAGGTAGTTCAGAAGCCAAGCCAAAGAGGAAACGAGCTAAGAAGAACCAGAGCGGGTAAGAAATTTCTTCTCATTTCCCAAAATAATTCACAAATACCTAGTACAAAGTTTTTCTTTATTTATCCATATATATTTCTTTTGCAGTGAGTCAAATGAACCAGAATCAGAAGCCGAGCCAAAGAGGAAAAGAGCAAAGAAAAACCAAAGCAGGTAAGAAATGTCTCTTTTCATTTCCCAAATGCATATAGTTTTTCTTCATTCATGCATATGTATTTCTTTTGCAGTGAGTCAAATGAACCAGAATCAGAAGCCGAGCCAAAGAGGAAAAGAGCAAAGAAAAACCAAAGCAGGTAAGAAATGTCTCTTTTCATTTCCCAAATGCATATAGTTTTTCTTCATTCATGCATATGTATTTCTTTTGCAGTGAGTCAAATGAACCAGAATCAGAAGCCGAGCCAAAGAGGAAAAGAGCAAAGAAAAACCAAAGCGGGTAAGAAATGTCTTTTTTTATTTCCAAAATGCATATAGTTTTTCTTTATTTATGCATATGTATTTCTTTTGCAGTGAGCCAAATGAACCAGAATCAGAAGCCGAGCCAAAGAGGAAAAGAGCAAAGAAAAACCAAAGCGGGTAAGAAATATCTTTTCTCATTTCCAAAGTGCATATAGTTTTTCTTCATTTATGCATATGCATTTCTTTTGCAGTGAGTCAGATGAACTGCCACCCAAAACAAGTAAACCAACTCCTGCAAGCTCCAGAAAACAAAGAGCTGCCCAAGAATCAGCAGAGACTAGTAAGATGCTTTTGTATTTAACAAAATTATAACAAGGACTTCTTTGTCTTCACAATCTTTTCTTCTGTTTAGGTCAGGCCAAAAAGTCAAGAGGCATCAAAAGCAGTAAAACTGTTAAAAATCATTGAATTTTATCTCAAAATAAAAAATTATTTGCATGCTAGTACTTTTTTAAAGTTCTTCTGCTGTGTTCTTGTTGACATCACTGTTGAATGTTTGAGTGAGCTGCAGAGTAATTTGAATGGCTGTGTGTATCTAAGAAATTGAGTGATTTAGGCTATAAAATAACATTTGAGAGTGATCTACAGATATATCTGTTGAACAGAGTACTTAAAATACTTCAGCTTTGATGTTAAGTGAGTAATAACATACAAAGATGATTTGGTTTGACTCATTGAACCATCCTCCAGTGCCTGGGGGTACACTTTAGTCGAAAAGCGAAGACTGAAAATAGGTTTTGGGCTGCGGTATTTAGAATGAGTTTCATCCGTAAAGTTTTTATTTTTCCCAGAGTTAGGGACTATAAAAATACACTTTTTAACGCTCAGAGAAGTGAAAAAAAAATATACGTATTAGCTTTTAACCAATAAATCCACTTTTTTTAAATTTTAAAACTACGTCGAAACTTCAAAAAATTGTTTGAAAATTCCGTTCTGGCATGGAAAGGACTCAACTTTTTATGCTCTTTTCAAAAAAATTTAGACGGGAAAGTTTCGATGAAAAATTAAAAATGTGGAATTTTTCCTAGGTTTGAAACATAAAAACCCCAAAATCTCGGCTTCTATGAGACATAAAAATCTGAAAATTTTTTTGGAGACTCTCTACTACTAGGGCATCTTAAAAAACCAACGGGAGCAGGATCTGAGACATGAAGGTTTTGGGCCTGGTTGCCTTGGGAAAGAATTGCTCAAATGCCATCTGGGTCCTAGAATGTTCATACGCTCATCATTGACTTCTCGAAGGGCTTGAGCGATCACTATTGGTGCCGCACCTGCCTCGACATACCCAGCCGGGTAAGGCTGGCCCTGTCAACACGGAGGTAACCGGACAGCGAGCAAAGGGGAGCACCTGGAATGGTAGACCGCGGGAATGGCCAAAGGGCAGGTATGGGGAAGGGACTAGCTGAAGGGTATTTACCATTGGCGGAGAGGTGTGCCTCCAGCCAGGCAGCTAGGGCGGCCAGGAGATCGTTGGTGGAGGACATGTTGCAGGCTGGCGCGGATGTCAACACGAGAATGGGGGAACGACGGCGCTGGGCGAGCGCACGGGCCGGCGGATGGCTGGCGGACGGCCGGCAGGTGTCGCGGCCAGGGAAGGCGAGGGACACCCCCCCCCTCCCCCCGGCCGGACGGCGGGCGACGTGTTGATAAGCGGGAGGTAGCGAGGAGCTGGAGGCAGACCGTATCAAGGAGGTAACCGGCACGGGGCTATGCAGGAGGATGAGAATGGTGAGTGACCAAACGATGGAGTGATGGAGGTGATGCTATATGATTGAGGGAAAACTGCTGGGCGATGAGGGGACAGCTGTGGTGGTAGTGGCGGGCGTCCGCTGCACGCTTAAGGGGAGGTTCTGGTGAAAATGCTATTTTCTCCTAAATAGGTCCCACTGTGAAAATTAGTTAAAAATTTGATGTCTTACCAAGTAATTAATAAAAATTTTCACTGGGGACTCACATTCTGTGCCCTGAACCCAGTCGAAGAGTCTTTTTGAGCCTATTTTGGGTGTAACTTTAAAAATCTTCTTGCGCATACTATTTTGTCGTAAAACCCGTTTAAAAAAGATCGTGCCGAGAATGTGTCGAAATGATGTCGAAATGATGCCGAAGTGTCCGGCATGCCCTGAATGATGCCGAAATGCGCTCGGCAAGCCCGAAATCCACCCGCCGCCGGCACGCGGCAAGCCCGAAATGAGCCCCGCTGTCGCGGGCGGCCCGGAATCGTACCGCGACCCCGGCCGCTGCCCGGCCGGGTGGATTTCGGGCGTGCCCGTGCCTTTCGGCATGATTCCGGGCATGCCCGAGTGACGGGGCGCATCGAGACCCTAATCAAAGAAGTGTCAAGTTAATGTCTTTGACCTGCGTACAAAATTGAAAAGTTAAAATAGTGAAATTCTTTCTTAAGTTCCAAGTCTATCAAAACCGGCGTGAAAAATTAGAAAATTCCGTGCAAACGAGATGTTTGTAGGACAATTTTGAATTCTTTGACTGAACAAATCTCCAATCAAATTAAACACTTTGATACGGGTACTTGAATGAATGCAGTTGAATCCGTTGAGCTACTGATGCTTAACAGCCTTAGCATACAAATAGTAACTTTAGCTTGCCATCCTATAGAAAAGGTCTGGCTCTCAATAACATGAGCCGCGGGAAAAGGGTACTTCGAGTACGTGGATTATAAGGAAGCGAAGAACCTGGTTTGCGTGTAAGAGCCAACACCCCAATAACTGGGTTTGGGGGCCTGAGACCTGGGTTTCCAGTGGGCCTGGATCCGCGTGTTGACTAGTCCACACGCAGTGCTCTAGTACCTCCGCTCAAGTTCACCGAGTCTGTTGTTAGATCCAAGTGCCCAGCTGAACCCGCGCACCTTGTCCAAAAGTCGAGGGGCTCTCCGCGAGTAACCCAAGAGTCTCGCGGAGGTTACTTATTCGTCAAGACACAGGGCTCGCCGCGCGCTCCTCCCCCAGCAGCGTGTCTCCCCCGCCCCCTCCAGTGCCGCTCGGGGTCGAGCGAGCTCGCTGGAAGGCATCGGGAGCCTGAGGCCTCCTCCCCAGGTCTCCTCCGTGGTGCAGTTGGCAGCGTCTCGGTCCACAAAGACGGTCGTCCTGGGTTCCAATACTAACCAGTGTTTCTCCTTCAGCGTTCTGTGTACGTGTGTGTGTATGTGAGTGTGTATGTGCGTCTGTGTGTGAACGAGTGTGCGTGTGTGCGAGACTGAATAGGATCCGCCATCCAGGTACCTCCCCCTCCCCGGCGCCTTAATGGGAGGGACGGTTCGGCACGATTTCGGCATGCCCGGCAAGCGTCCGGCATTGCCGAAAATCGGTTTATTTTCCAACAAAATGATCGTTTTTCGGCAAGCCCGGACTCCTGGTTCGGGGCGGATTTCGGGCGTGCCGGCCGGGCATGCCCGAAATCCTGCCGTCATCCGGCACGATTTCGGGCAAGATCATTTTTTAAACGGGAAGGTTGGCCTTGACATTTTTCACTTCTTCGATTCATTTTAAAAAAATGTCGGCATGCACAACTCAAACTGTAAATAACATTTTCATTCGCAAGCTTTCTAACCAAGCATTTCACTATAATTGATCAAAAATGTACAAAATTGACAAATTTTAGGGACTTTTCAGCTTAAAAAGCTTACAGTTAATAATATAATGGGAATTTTGAGCTATGCATGCCGGAATTTTTTGAAAATGAATCGAAGAAGTGAAAAATGTCAAGGTCAACCTTTTACGACAAAATAGTATGCGCAAGGAGATTTTTTAAGATACAGCCAAAATAGGCTCAAAAAGACTCTTCGGCTGGGTTCAGAGCCTGGCATGTGCCTTCAAAAGTCAAATTTTAGTCTCCTAAAAGAAAGATTTTATATTCCGAACAAATTGTGACAGTGGAATCCATTTGGAAAATAGCAAGATTTTCACCAGAACCTCCCCTTAACTTCTTACGGATACATCCTATCTGTATTACGGACATTTTTGTGCAATTGCAATTACGGATAGATTTTGCTTGTAATACGGATGATTTCATCCGTATTACAAGCAAAATCTATCTGTAATTGCAATTGCACAAAAATGTCCGTAATACAGATAGGATGTATCCGTAAGAAGTTTAGTGTGTGCTGCTACGGGAGGACCGCGGTTGCTGTTGTTGTTATTGTTATTACTGTTGTGGCTGTGGCTGGCTCTGCGGTTGTTGTTGTTGTTGTTGTTGTTATAACACCGTCATCTACTGCTTCTCCACTGATTGCTCTCTGTTATCATGGTCTCGGTGCTATGCCACTGTTAATGGTATTATCGCTGCGCATTTACTTTTGTTGTTGTTGCTGTCTTGTTTTCCTGCCCCGGGTAGCAATCGGACCACCCGGGCGGATGTTGCGATTTGTGAACACTGCTGCCGCTTGGCGAGGCGCGGGGGTGGCGCAGCCAAGGGGCACAACACTGTAACTTTTGTCCAATAATAGTGATATCTGTAGGAGAGGACGGGCTCGAGACGTTCGACACTACGGAGACGGAGGCACGCGTCATCCCAGCCCCAGAAGGACCCCAGGCACTATTCTGGACCGCTGCAAGGGTGCTCCTTCGGAGGACGGTTACTGGGACTTCCACGCACGCTGTGCGAAAAAACCACAGTGAATCCCGTTAATTATTTGCCGGGATTTACTGTAGTTCAGAACACAGGATTTACCGAGGGGTTACCCACTCCCGATTTTCGCGTACACACGATTCCCAATTTCAAGATTCCCAAGATTCCAAAATGATTCCCAGATTCCTGAAGATTCCTGAAGATTCCAGAATGATTCCTGTAATTTCAGAGATTCCCATCTGATTCCATGATTCCCACGTGATTTCAATGATTCCCACGTGATTCCGACAAGATTTTCTCGCGATTCCGGTAGAAATTTAAATGGTTCGCGGGCTCGCGGGTCCGTATGGGTCGACAGGTATGAAAATCTGTGATGCGCATGACAGCGAGCTAGAGTCCTAAAGGCCCTAAAGGGGAATGAGGCGGTATTTCGTCCTCCCTCAACGGGCAATTGGTCTTTGGATCTTCCTTTTGCGTGCCTTTGTTACGGAAAGCGATTATCTGCCTTAGTTTGGGAGCAATACTGCCGCAAAGTTGATCAAAACGGTCACAAATGTCTGTGAAAAATCGTGTTTTGGGCCGACTTTAAGCATCTACTGCGTCTGATCCGAGGCGGTATTTTGTCCTCCCTCAACGGGCATTTGGTCTTTAGACCTTTCTTTTGCATGCCTTTGTTACGGAAAGCGATTATCT